CACTCTGCAGGAGCTGACATGGATGTGTGCCTTACAAACTATGGTCACTGTAACTACGTGTCCGGGAAGCACGCCTGCATATTCTACGATGAGGTGAGGGATGGAGATGGGGTGGGAAGGAGCTTTCCCAACCTGAGACCTCTTTTTGGTACTAGAGCTGGGGTAATCTTTTCTTCCCTGTCTCAGTATGAAGGTTCCATGTCTACCTGTATCCAGAAGAAAGGCTTTTGGGGGGTGCTGTAGGGGTAGCTGAGGTTTAAACTCAAAGCTTCACACAAGATAGAGTCTAGCTTTTTTGGGGGGGGCGGAGGGGTCAGTTGTGTTCCTGGGCACTGTCCCTCAGCTCTTCAACTCAAGGCTAGCACTGTACCACTTGAGCCACAGTGCCACTACCAGGCTTTTCTGCTTATGTGGTGCTGAGGAATCAAACTCAGGACCTCATGCATGCAAGGCAAGCACTCTACTACTGAGCCACCTTCCCAGCCCCTAGAGTCTAGCTTTTTGTCCAGGACTGTGCCTGGACAATGATCTGCCTGTTTTAAGTTTCCTACTGTAGCTGAGATGACAGGTGTATGCCACCCCACCTATCATCTGTTTCACTTTGAGTCTCAGACTTTGCTATCAGCTGGCCTGGAACCTCAATCCTCTTGATCTCAGCCTACCATGTTAACGTATGTAGATCCAGCTATTGGTTGAGGAAGGGTCACTCAAACTTTTTTTTAACCAAGCTGGCCTGAAACAACAGTCCTGATTTTGGCCTCCCACATAGCCTAGGTTTACAGTATGAGCAACTGCATCTGGCTAGGGCTAGCTTTTCTGTTAAGACTGGTCAGAGACACAGCAGTGGGAACCTACCCTAAACCCAGAGGAGTGGCCAGTATGGAAGGAAGCAAATTATGTGGCTATATCACTGAGTTTTGTCATTGTCATGTGCTAGTGAAGGTACCAGTGCTAAGGAGGCAGGGGAAGGATGGGGGAGAGCAGAGGCTCTGGCCACTAGAAAAGTAGGTTGTCACAAGAAGGGAATTCTTGAGCCCCATTCTGAAAGAGTGAGGCTGTGATTGAGGAAGAATATGAGAACTCCCTGGGACATAAGGAGCTGCCTTCTTGTGTCCTTTCTCCTTAACCCCAGGCCTCACACAGCAGACCACACATCTTATCTCCCCTCCTCCTCCTCAGAATACCAAACATTATGAGCTGTTAAACTACAGTGAGCATGGGACAACGGTGGACAATGTGCTGTATTCATGTGACTTCTCTGAGAAGACCCCGCCAACCCCCCCAAGCAGTATTGTTGCCAAAGTGCAGAGTGTCATCAGTAAGTTGGAGCAGAGTCCTGTGGCCACAAAGCTAAGACCACAGTCACAGTAGTGGTGCCATGCTGCCGATAACCTGTGCTCTCTTGCCTTCCCAGTCCCATTGGTCAAGTTCTCATTGCTGGTGGGCCCAGGGAAAGTCACTGAGAAGCAATGCTGAATATCCACGTGTATATCAGACTTATTTGCAGACTTCAGAATCCACCAGCCCTTTCTGAGCATCCCTCACCCCCTGGTTATGAGGCAGTTGGAATGGGGAGAGGTGGGGCCCACTTCTGGCAAACAACCTAGATAGGTCAACACTCGTTGTTCCTTTCCTATGACCATCCCCCTTTTTCCCAGGGCGTCGCCGGCACCAGAAACAAGATGAAGAGCCAAGTGAGGAGGCAGCCGTGATGAGTTCCCAGGCCCAGGGACCCCAGCGGAGACCCTGCAATTGCAAAGCCAGCAGCTCAAGCTTGATTGGGGGCAGTGGGGCCGGCTGGGAGGGAACAGCCTTACTGCACCATGGCAGCTACATCAAGCTGGGATGCCTGCAGTTTGTCTTCAGCATCACTGAGTTTGCGACCAAACAGCCCAAAGGCGATGCCAGCCTGCTGCAGGATGGGGTCTTGGCTGAGAAGCTATCTCTCAAGCCCCACCAGGGCCCTGTACTGCGCTCCAACTCCGTTCCCTAAGGCTAGTAGCTAGCAGCCACTGGCCTAGACACCCATCCAAGACTCCTGCAATGCAAAAATGTACACAAACCAAGCCCGGGTGTTTTCTATACCAGAAACCCTTCAACTACAATCTTTGCATGAAATGAAGAAAACCTTTTGACTTTTTTAAAACTCCTTTTTCTTTTCTCAAGTTTTAGGGGGCATTTGCACATATATTTGTACTCAACATTTCATGGGAAAGCGGCAGACCGAGCTGAGGAACAGTGTGGGCAGGGAGGGGAAGGCCGTGGTGTGGATACTTCCTCCAACACAAACCCTTCCCCCCACCACCCCCCTCCCCCTCGCCCGCCCACCCACCCACCCACCGTTGTAAAATAATCAGAAACTTGTTCTATTTTGTGGCAGTGACAATAGTTTTATATTAAAAGAAAAAATACAGTTTTCATACAGCAAAATCTATACAATATCATTGTTTTATTTAATATAAAGATCGCTACCCACCCTCCTTCCATGGCTCCCACCCTCCAAGTTATTTTCCCTTTCTGCAGCGGTTGCACTAAGGTAGCTACTGTGTATTATGGACAAATGAGATGAATTCTTTTTCTGGCTGTCCATCTATTTTATTTCAAATAAGGAAAAGTGTATTTGGATTTTGTGTAAATACATCTAGTGATGACCTTTTTTCAATGTTTTTAAAAACTGTGTACAGTACTACATGTGGTAGAGCGTTTTCTCAAATTGTCTATTGTAGCAAAAACGTTTTTGTCGTAAACCTGTTTTGTCTCTTTTTGTTCTCTTGCCACTTCTCTTCCTCCCACCCCTGGTTCCCTTTTCTCTTCCCTCACCCCCACAACTAGTACCAATGTACATAGTAATTGTAATGTTTTAGACTTTACAGAAACTTTCCTGTATTCTGTATATAAAAAACAAAAATACTCCAAATTATGTTTTCTGCCTGTCTGTCCTACCTGTCATCACCCTTGGAGGGGAACTACCCTGAGATCTGGATTTAAGGGGTGGCAAGAGGGGAACTCTTTGAACAGGTCTCTCAGTCACAAAGCAAAGCTTGGGAGTGAAAAGAGATGTTAGATGAGTGAGCCTAAGCTGGGTAGAAAACAATGGAAGGGTGAGTGCTGTTTCTCTGGAGAGCCCTAATATAGTAGGATCCAGGCAGAGAGTCTGGACCATTCTAGATAGTGTGATTTGCAGTCCTAGTTAATCCACTGCTGTTTCATTCAGAAAACAAGTACTGCATTACCTCAGTTCTAAAGTTCTGGGTCCCCCTCATGAAGCCAAACTCCTTTTCCTCCTCCATACTTGAGTGAAAGGCATTCCTAGTTAGTTCTTTGTGAGGACAGTTTTCTTTCTAGAATCAGCACTATTAGAGTAAATAAACCCAGTTTGTGTATTAGGATTTTGCCTTGGGTTAGAAAATAATGCATCCACAACCTTCTTCCACAGCACTATACATAATTGCAATATCCACCGTGTGGTTAAGTAGGAAACAACCCCAGGACTCTATCTGCCCGGGTTTCCATCTACCTATATAGTTTTATCTCCACTATTGCTCCCTGCCAGTACCTGATGGGTTTCTCAACTCCTTAAAGGCAGAAGCTTTGGATTCTCAGTATAAACAAGGGCAAGTACTGCTGGGCAATTTTTTTTTTTTTTTTTGGTCCATGGGGATTGAACTCTGGGCTTGGGCACTGTCCCTCTGCTCTTCAGCTCAAGGCAAGCGCTCTACCGCTTGAGCCACAACACCACTTCCAGTTTTCTAGTGGCTTATTGGAGATAAGGGTCTCACAGATTTTCCTGACTGGGCTGGTTTTGAACTGCGATCTTCAGATCTCAGCCTCCTAAGTAGCTAGGATTACAGGCATGAGCCACTGGTGCCCGGCTACTTCTGGCTTTTTCTGTTTATGTGGTGCTGAGGTACAGAATCCAGGGCTTCATGCATTGCAAGGCAAGCACTCTACCACTGAGCCATCTTCCCAACCCATTGCTGGGCAAATTTAAGTGCCAAAACAGGTGTTAAATCATATCCTGGCTTCCTCAGGCAAAGCCCTGCAAAGTTCCTTGGCCAGGAGTGCCCTTACCCATGATTCTGTAACTGTCCTTACCCCACTCACAACCATAGTAACTTCCATTGAGTAATGGAGCATCTTATTTCTACCACCCATTCCAGAGGCAAATTTCCACCTGATGGGCAGTAACAGGTTTTTATTATCTTCACACTTCCCTCAGAAAGGGAGTGAGGCGGAGCACTGCTATAACTCAACAGACAGGAGAGTCAACCTGGACTGCATGTATAATGAGTTCCGAGCCAGCCAGACTGGGCTACTTCAGAAAAACCCTGTCTCAAAAATTTAAGGATGGGGGGGGGGAGGTCCTGAGATTGGGAGATAGGACAGATTTAACTACTTACTCCACTTTTGAATACTGCCACCTCTCTGATAAGTATGACCAGAACAGAAAAGCTACAAGTTGAGGGCTGGATGATGTCAGAATGAGAAATTGAAGGATTGGTTCGTTGAGGGAAAGACTTTTTTAAGAGGACTGAACTCTTAAACACAAGCCCATTCATGTTCTCTCCTGAAAGGGGAGAGCCTTTACATTCTCACACCTAGAGTAAACAGATTATTCATTCAAGCACATGCGTTGGTGGAGACTACAGATGCCTGCACAGCTTGGCGGGACTCTGCCCAAAAAGGCACTGACACCTACGTGGTTCTTGCAGGCTCACACCCTGAAGGGTGATCCGAAGGCCCCGCAGGCACCAACATACCTGTTAGTGACAGATGGACGAACACCCGAGGCAGGCATTTGGGAACACGCCTAGAGGGCGCACCCAGGGCCCTAATGCACACATGCCACCTGAAGGTGTCCGCACGCACAGGCATACGGCCAGACGCACGCCTAGGGGGCGCTCGCAGGGCCCACGCAAGCGCGCGCACGCGCGCACGCCCCCCTCCGCCTGGCCTCCCTTCCGCCCCCGTCCCCGCCCCCGCGAGGCCCTGTCGCGCGCGGCGCCCTTCCAGGCCTGAGCTGGGCGGGGCGGCGAGGCCCGCGGCGGGAAACCCGCTGGGCAGCCGGCATGGAGGCGCTGCTGCTGGGCACGGGACTGCTGCTGGGAGCCTACGTGCTCATCTATTACAACCTGGTGAAGGCCCCGCCGTGCGGTGGCCTCGGCAGCCTGCGGGGCCGCACGGCCGTGGTCACGGGTGAGTGCAAGCGTGGGCAGGCGGCGGCCGGGCGGCCGGGCGGCGGGCCGCGTCCCTGCGCGCTCACCCGTCTCACCTGCAGGTGCCAACAGCGGCATCGGGAAGATGACGGCCCTGGAACTGGCGCGCCGCGGAGCGCGCGTGGTGCTGGCTTGCCGCAGCCGGGAGCGCGGGGAGGCGGCCGCCTTCGACCTCCGCCAGGTGAGGGAATGCGGGCACGGGTGGGACCACCAGTCAAGGACACATCGGGACCCGGGGACCAGCCAAGCCGCGCGGGAACGCCAGTTCCTGGGAGAGCCGCGCGGTTCGTTAAGCTCCCGGAAGAGAGTGCACTGAGTGCTCTGGTCACACAGGGAAGGAGCACCAGGGATCCTGAAGGAAGGCATTGCTAGTCGGAGATGTGTAAGGATCAGCCGGAGTTAATGAAGAGCAACAAGGGAAGAGAGCAGCAGAGAGAACAGCATGTGCGAAGGCCAGGAGGATAGTCTAATTTGACACGCAGGGAGAGATTTGATGAGACTGAAATACAAGTTAGGAAGAGGAGCGCCAGACTGAAGGTTCTGGAGGTCCTCATAGAGCCTAACGACGAGTTTGAACAGTAGAGCTCAGGGAAGGGTCCTTAACAGGACATGAATTGTCAGAATAGACTGGGGTCAGGCAGAGGGCAAGAGGAGACCAATGAAAAGTCTGTTATACTAGGTCATGGTGGCCCACATCTGTTCTCCCAGCACTAGGGAGGCTGAAGCAGGATTGTTAAGTTCAAAACCTGCTTGGGCCATATAGTGAGTTGGAGGCATTGTCTTTTTGTTTTTGTTGGTTTGATTTGGTTTGGTTTTTTTGTTGGTCATGGGGCTTGAACCCTGGGCTTGGGTGCTGTCCCTCAGCTCTTCAGCTCCAGGCTAGCACTCTACCACTTGAACCACAGCACCACTTCTGGCCTTTTCTGTTTTTGTGGTGCTGAGGAATCAAACCCAGGGCCTCATGCATACAAGGCAAGCACTCTATCACTAAGCTACCTTCCCAGGTCCGGCATTGTCTTTAGAAAGAAAAGTCTGAGCCGGGCGCTGGTGGCTCACGCCTGTAATCCTAGCTACTCAGGAGGCTGAGATCTGAGGATTATGGTTCAAAGCCAGCCTGAGCACCAATTAACTACCAGAAAACCAGAAATGGAGCTGTTGCTCAAAGTGGTAAAGCACTACCCTTGCACAAAAAGAGCTCAGGAACAGCACCCAAGCCCAGAGTTCAAGTCCCATGACTGACAAAAAAAAAGTCTGTTATAGATTTTAGGGTAATAACACACACCCAGTACAGAATGCAAACTGATCATGGTATTTTACATTTAATACAGCAACGGTTAAAGATAGGTATTGCTATATTATTCTCCTTTTTTCCACTGCCAATCCTGGGGCTTGAACTCAGGGCCTAGGCACTGTCCCTGAGCTTCTTTTGCTCAAGGCTAGCACTCTACCACTTCAGCCACAGCACTACTTCTGACTTTTTCTGTATATGTGGTATTGAGGGATCAAACCCAGAGCTTCTTACATGGTAGGCAAGCACTCTACTGCTGAGCTACATTCCCATCCTATTATTCTCCTCTTATACAGTGAGAGAACTGAGGTCCAGAGCGATTAAGGATCTTGCCCAAGGTCACATGATAATAAAAGGCAATCTATACAGTTATTCATTACATCCTAATGCATGGTGCAAAACTTAGTAATAACAGCAGAAGGTTCCAAGGGAGAGGGAATAGGAGGAAGGTTCTTGGTGACAATCCCAGCCCTTGCTGATCCACAGGAGAGTGGAAACAATGAGGTCATCTTCATGGCCTTGGACTTGGCCAGTCTGACCTCGGTGCGGGCCTTTGCCACTGCCTTCCTGAGCTCTGAGCCACGGCTGGACATCCTCATCCACAATGCCGGTGAGGGGTAAAAGGCCTTGCAGGGTGGGTGGTGGGTGGCCAGGGGCAGTCACCACCTCCAGCTGGGACCTGCTAGGGATCAGTAGACACTTGGGAAGGATACCCCCTAATGCTGTCTCACAAAGGGGGATGCTGGGGCCTGGGGGCTCCTTCTCACACCTAGCCTCTGCTCCAGGAATCAGTTCCTGTGGCCGGACCCGTGAAACCTTTAACCTGCTACTTCGTGTAAACCACATCAGTCCCTTCCTGCTGACACACCTGCTGCTACCCCACCTGAAGATGTGTGCCCCCAGCCGAGTGGTGGTGGTGTCCTCAGCTGCCCACAGACGTGGACACTTGGACTTCACACGCCTGGATCAACCAGTAGTAGGCTGGCAGCAGGAGCTGAGGGCATATGCTGACAGTAAGCTAGCCAATGTACTGTTTGCCAGAGAGCTTGCCACCCAGCTTGAGGGAACTGGTGTGACCTGCTATGCTGCCCATCCAGGTGAGGTGTGGCTCTGGAGCTGTCCTGATCCTCTTCTATTCTTTTTTTTTTTTTTGGTCGTGGGGCTTGAACTCTGAGATTGGGGACTGTCCCTGAGCTCTTCAGCTCAAAGCAAGCGCTCAACCACTTGAGCCACAGTGCTACTTCCAGTTTTCTGATGGTTAATTGGAGACAAGAGTCTCATAGACTTTCCTGCCTGGGCTGGCTTTGAACCAGGATCCTCAGGTCTCAGCCTCTTGAGTAGCTAGGATTACAAGCGTGAGCCACTAGCACTCAGCTCTTGTGATATTTGAGGGTCCACCTTAAGCATTTTAGCTTTTACTTGAGTGAGATAATTGATGAGTAGAATCATTCTTGCCTTTAAAGGGCAAAAGATTTATACAATGTCATTAGAAACCAGAGTTTTCATACTTGCCTTTAGAGAATAGACTACCCCAGGAGAATGAGATCTACTTTGCCTATATTACTGTACTATGCTTTAGAAAATCATTACCTAAGGCCATTAGCAATTATAGTAATAATAATAACCCAACTAATTTTTATTAAGCTTTTATTACAACTCCAGATCCCTAATGCCCAAAACAGTAGCTTGTACACAGAGGTACTTAATATACACTGCTAAGAAAGGAATGAGGCTCCAGCTAAAAGAAAAGATGGAGAGAGATTTAAGAGGCTGGAGAGACAGTGTGACCAAAATCTGAGAGAATAAGTAATTTTGGGGGAAGAGAGGAGGCTTCTATTGGGAAGTGAGTGAAGTCACCTGTGGGAGCAGAGTTCTTGGTAGATATTGCCCTAGCTTCCTTGGAGCTAGATTCTGTCCAGTTCTAGCTCTATTCCTGCTGCTTATATCCGGTGCCTTCACCCATCTTCCTCCCCATCTTTCTGCCCATAGGGCCTGTGAATTCAGAGCTGTTCCTGCGTCATGTTCCTGGATGGTTGCGCCCCCTTTTGCGCCCACTGGCTTGGCTAGTGCTCCGGACACCCAGAGGGGGTGCCCAGACACCCCTGTACTGTGCTCTTCAGGATGGCATTGAGCCCTTCAGTGGCAGATACTTTGCCAATTGCCATGTGGAGGAGGTGTCTCCAGCTGCCCGAGATGACCGGGCAGCTCACCGGCTATGGGAGGCCAGCAAGAGGCTGGCAGGCCTTGGGCCTGGGGAGGATGATGACCCCAATGAAGAGCCCCAGCCTGAGGATTCAGCGGCCCCATCTTCTCTGAGCACCACCCACCCTGAGGAGCTTACAGTTTCTGAACTTTACCCTGGTGCTCAGAGTTTACCAGACTTGTCTAAATTGACACGCCGAATTCAGGTTAAAGCTGAGCCTGAGCCCTAAAGCTCCTAACTCCCGGGCTTAGATGCTTTTTGTAGCACTTTATGACCCCTAAAAACCTTAGCTGTGTGCTAGGCCATGCCCCTGGTACCCAGGGGTTGCCATTTTTACCTCTGTGATTACTTTGTGAGGTCTCTTGGTATGTCTCAGGCAGCTCTTTTACTGGTGAGAGAAATAATGGGTAACAACTCCTTCTTAAGAGAGACAGTAACCTCAAAAGTTAGGGTAAAGGGTAACACACCAGACACTGTACTGCTCAGGAATTTGAATTTCAGATTTCCAGGCCCCACCTGGGTTGACTGTGATAAAAGCTCTGGAGCAGGGCCAGGGAATTTGATTCAAAGCAGTGCCAACAATGAGCATCGCTGACCTGAGCCCTTTGCAACCATCCAGCCAGGTAGTTATAATACCCGCATTCCTTAGAGACAGCGTTCAGCGCTGGAGGGAAGGACTCAGCCCCCTGGGTTCAACTGGTAAGAAGAGCAGAGGACTGAGATTTGAACCTAGGGGGTCTGATGCTAGGGCCCGCCCAATGTAAAGTGGGTGCTGGGAAGTAAGGCGGCTCAGAGCTGTTGTTTCCGAGGATGCTGGGGGTGGGGGTGCCTTCCAGGGTGTTGGAGGGCTGGGACCCCCAGCAATAAAGCGCGTTGACTGCCAAGGCTCTGCCTCTCTCTACTTGCCGGCCCCGCCTTCCGCCGCCGCACTTCCGGCGGGGCTGCGACCACGGAGGGGCGCGCGCGGGCTAGCGGGCGGCCGCTGGGGGTGGCGGGATAGACTGGGCGCGGCTGGCGCTGCGGCCGGACCCGCCGTTGCTGCTGCTGCTGCCGCCCAGTCCGTGCGGCCCGAGGGCCTGCGTCCCGCCAGCGACATGGGCAATTGCCACACGGTGGGCCCCAACGAGGCGCTGGTGGTTTCAGGTGAGGAGATCGGGGGAGGGGGTCCAGGGGGCGCGCGCTGGGCCGCACACCCCTTGGAGAAGAGAATCCCCCGCCCCACGCGCACCGTGCTCCGGAGCTCCCCCTCCCCACTGCGGCCTCGCGTGTTGGTTCCTTGCTTTCCCCGTCTCCTCCCTAGGCAGGGCCTCCTCCGTCCGCTCCACGGTGGGCTTGCGGGTGACCTGGGGGAGAAGGGGTGGGCCGCGTAGCTCTGGAGGGCAGGTGCGGGTATGGGGAGCGTCCAGGAGCCCCCGCCCAAATCCTCCAGGGCCTTTTTCCAGCCCTAGGAGACCCGTTAATTCCGAGCGGGCTGGGGTTTACTGGCATTCCCCGCCCTGGAGATTGCGGGTGCGGCCTCTACAGGTTGGGAAACCCCAACCCCGGATTGCAAAAGGCTGCTAGTTCTAGAATTTCTATCAAGGTGAGGCTTGGAAAAGTGCAGCCTGGAGGATGGGGTGCGAACCTCGCTTTAAGGTTGCAGCTGTTGGCATTGGATATGTGAAATGTTTTAGCAGGTAGCTGAAGCCATTTAAACCACCAGGTTGCTCTGGCCGGGCTGAGGGCCTGTTGCATGACAGCTTAGCTTGCAGCAGTCGGCTGCAGTAGGGCTGGCTAGCTAGCTACCGAGGAGAGGGGAGGACTTCAGCTAGGGCTTGTAGCTGCCCACCCTTGGATTGTGTGAAAAATCCATTGGGAACTTTCACCTTCTCACTACCCCACAAACATGAGTTTACGCTTAGTTTGTTTGGATCTCTAAATCAGTATCACCACTAAACTAGACCTAACCGGGACTCTGCTTCTGTAGAGACAAATAGCTCCACCTCCTTGAAAACCAAAGATTGCCTTGAGGTCAGGAGGGAGAGCCCAGAGGCCAACTTCCTTCTTGCTAACACTTGGGCTTAGCTTCCAGTGCTCACCTATGGAACTGACATTTTTGTTGTGAGGCTTGAACTCAGGGCCTGGGAGCTGTCCCTGGGCTCTTTGGCTCAAGGCTAGTGCTCTCCACTTCCAGTTTTCAGGGGATAAATTAGAGATGAGTCTTCTCCTATACTTTCCTGCCCAAGTTGGCTTTGAACCATGATCTTCAGATCCCAGCCTCTTGAATAGCTAGGATTATAGGTGTGAGGCACCAGTGCCTCACACAGCTTTAGAGAAGATATTTATTTGTTTGTTTGTTTATTTCACCAGTACTGGGACTTGAACTCAGGGCATGGGCACAGTCCCTCAGCTTCTTTTGCTTAAGGCTAACACTTGAGCCACAGTACCACTTCCAGCTTTTTCTGTTTATGTGGTACTGAGGAATTGAACCCAGGGCCTCATGCATGTGAGGCAAGCACTCTACCACTAAGCCACATTGCCTGCTCATAAAGAAGACCCCCCCCTTTTTTTAATAAGTTTTTTTTATTGTGAAAATACCGTACAGAGGTCATAGAGACTTTTAAAAGCCAGAATCTACATTGAATTTTGTTTTCCTATTACTTCTCTTTATTTTTTCCTAGTTTTATTTGGTTTTGGGGACATATCAATGTTAGTTCTGGGGCTTGAACTCAGGACCTAGGTGCTGTCCGGGAGCTTTTTGTTCAAAGCTACAACTCTACCACTTGATAGCTCCACTTCCAGTTTTTTTGGTGGTTAATTTAAGATAAGAATCTCATGAGGCTGGGAATGTGGCTTAGTGGTAGAGTGCTTGCTTAGCATGCATAAAGCCCTGGGTTGGATTCCTCAATACCACATAAACAGAAAAAGCCAGAAGTGGTGCTGTGGCTCAAGTGGTAGAGTGCTAGCCTTAAGCAAAAGAAGCTTAGGGACAGTGCCCAGGCCCTGAGTTCAAGCAACAGGACTGGCCAAAAAAAAAAAAAAAAAATCTCATGAACTTTTCCTGCCCTGCCTGGCTTTGACCTCAGTCCTCAGATCTTAGCCTCCTAAATAGCTAGGATTACAAGTGTGAGCTCAGCATGTTTTTGTTATTGTTCTTTTTTTCCTATGTGAGTCCTGGGGCTTGAACTGGGGGCTTAGGAGCTATCCCAAAGAGTTTTTTTGTTTGTTTGTTTTGATTTTTTGTTTTGCTTTGTTTTGCTTTGCCTAAGGTTAACACTCTACCACTTCAGCCACAGCTCCACTTCCAGCTCTCTGATGATTAATCAGAGATTAAAAACTCAGGGACTTTATTTGCCCAGGCTGGCTTCAAACCAAGATCCTCAGATCTCAGCCTTCTGAGTAGCTAGGGTTGCAGGTGTGAACTCCCAGTGCCTGGCTTTGGTTTTGTTTTTTGAAACAAGACCTCTTTGTGTACTATGTATCCTAGGCTAGCTTCAAACCCTCAATCTTGCTTCAACCTCCTGAGTGCTGGGATTATAGATATCCACCCACCCATGCTTTGGTTTGTTTATCTTATGTTTTTGTTTGTTTTTTGTCAGTCTAGGGGCTTGAACCCAGGGACTGGGCACTATCATTGAGTTTTTCTGCCAAAGGCTAGAGCTCTAACTACAGCTTCACTTCTGGGTTTCTGGTGGTTAATTGGAGAACAGAGTGTCATGGACTTTCCTGTGTGGGCCAGCTTCAAACCATAATCCTCAGAACTCAGCCTCCTGAGTAGCTAGGATTACAAGCAAGAGCCACTAGCAATGGCTCTTAAGAGTTTCCTTCAGGAAGTTCTGACTCTGGGCTGAGGAGACAAAAGCTCTAATTATGTCCACATCCCAAAGTGGAGACTACAGAGTAAGGAGTCCCTGAGACAGGCTTCCCTGTATTTTACACTTACTAGGAACCTGGTGCTCAGATCAGAGCTAATATAGTGCTGGCTTGAAAGCTCTTTGGGGGGGCAAGAAAAGAAAGCTATGCCAAGAATTAAGGTGCTAGAATAAAGGAAGGGCAAGAGAAGAGAAAGATGATGTCTGGCATAATTGTACCTTGGGAACTGAGACAGTCAAACTGAGATGCAGCTCCCTTTTGTAGTTGGACTCCCAGGAGAGCTGAGCTGAACAGAGCAGAGCAGCTGCTGCAGCCCTACCCCTCTGCCTCTTAGCTCAAGGCATATCACAGCCCAGTTCCAGTAGTAGTTAATACATTCTGTGGTCCTTTCCATTTTTTTTCTTCATGTCTTACCTCCCTCCTTCATTCTGTAACATAAAACTTTTCTGTCTTTTTTTTCCCCACTGTATTTGGACTTGAACTTAGGACCTTAAACTCACAACTGGCACTCTGGCTCTCGCCTGTAATTCTCCTAGCTACTCAGGAGACTGACATCTGAGGATCATGGTTCAAATTCAGTCTGGACCAAGACTCGTTATCTCTGATTAACTACCAAAGAACTGGAAATGGAGCTGTGGCTGAAATAGTAAAGTTCTAGCCTTGAGCAAAAAAGTCTGAGGGACAGCTCTCTGGCCCTAGGCTAGCACAGGGACAAAAAGGGGGGGAGGTGGATCCTGGGGAGGAAAGAGAATAAAAAGAAAATTTCTTTCCATTTGAAAGAGGAGGAACAGATTTTATTCTTACTAACCACAACTGAAATTGAGTATTTCTTATGATTATGAATGTCAGCCACAAACCAGGATAGCATCAGCAGATATTTTCCTACATTCATCTCTGCTTTGAAATGAAGCTAGTAATTCAATCTACGACTAGATCTTATTTACTATATTAGTAAGGAGGAAAAAAGCATATATTCCTATGTCATACATTTGGTTCTTTTAGCATTTTGTTAGCTTTCACTATAATTTTCTTATTAATTGTCTGCATTTATGAACATTTGAAGAAGAGGTACCGGGGTTTTAACTGGAGACCTGGTACTTCCTAGGCAAGTGCTCCACCCTTTTTGTTAGGTTTTTAAAAAGAGGTAGCCGAAAAGAAACACATGAGGAAATGTTCATCATCCCTGGTGGTGAAGGAAATGCAAATAAAGACAACCCTGAGATACCACCTTACCCCAGTCAGAATGTCCCACATCCACAAATCAGCCAACGACAAATGCTGGAGGGGATGTGGAGAAAGAGGAACCCTATTACACTGCTGGTGGGAATGTACACTTATACAACCACTTTGGAAAGCAGTCTGGAGGGTCCTTAGAAAGCTAAAGATTGACCTCCCTTACGACCCAGTCATACCACTTCTAGGCATCTACCCTGAACAACAGGAACCAATATACAAGGACACGTGCACCTCCATGTTTATTGCAGCACTGTTCGCAATAGCTAGGATATGGAAACAACCTAGGTGCCCCACCACAGATGAATGGATCCAAAAATTGTGGTATCTATACACAATGGAATATTATGCAGCCATTAGAAATGACAAAATAATGGCATTTGCAGGGAAATGGATGGAGCTAGAAGGAATCATGTTGAGCGAGGTAAGCCAAGAACGAAGAGACAAACGGTACATGGTCTCCCTCATAAGTGGATGCTAAATCCAAAAGGTTAGTGATACGACAAAACTAACAGGACTTAAGAAACAAAGAACTCCCGCTCATCTGGTTGAACCACTACTAAATATCCTCATGCTGCTGATCACAAATATGGTATATAACATGTGAACACTGTTATATATTACAGACTGTGGTAGACAATTTGCTCCAGGGAAGTTAGAATGAACTTGTGACTTTGAAATTATGTAATCATTTAATCACAATCAAAAAAAAAAAAAAAAGAACCTCGGGGAAGGGAGGGAGGGAGGGGATGGTAGGGGGAAAACAATGGAGGGGGTAACAATGTTCAAGAGGAAGTGTACTCA